AGTAATTTTTGCAACAAGGAAACAGTTGTAGAACACTGATTTCCTCCGAATACTGTATGGCGAAGTGTCCAGCAAGAGGTAAATTATCAGAGGTATAATATTAGATATCTCTCAAATGTTCAGGAACACAGTTCTGGACAACAGGACTGTTGCAGAAAGTTTATGGATGGTAGGGGGTGCCTTTAAGAGAGATAGTGCAGTGTGACTTTCCAATTATATCAATACAGGGCCGGCCGATATGTCACAAAGGATTAATGTCCACTCGTGACTCCAGGATATTTGTAGTAGAAGGTCTCCTTTAGTGATTAACTGGGGGCCTCCTTTAGGAGGAAACAATTCCAGATGAGCTTCTTCGGTAGTTCTACAATACAGCTGCATCCTTAGCTAGGCTCGACAGCAACTAGGAATCAGCAGGTCTGGATCCTTGGTGGCTCTGGTACTAGGCCTCAGGATGATCCCCATCGCCAGCAGACAGCAACACAGACTCGACTTGGCAGATTTCAGCAGCTTCCTCAGTTCTCTGGTACTGAGAGACACTGTCTCTCAAGTAATAGTTACATAGTTAGTCTGGCTGAAAAAAGGCAAAAGTCCATCCAGTTCAACCATAAAAAAAAAGTTATAATCCTACACCCACAGTTGATCCAGAGAAAGGCAAAAAAAAAACCCCAGCAAAGCATGATCCAATTTGCTCCTGCTGGGAAACAAATTCCTTCCTGATCCCCCGTGAGGCAATCGGATATTCCCTGGATCAACTTTACCTATAAATGTTAGTATCCAGTTATATTTTCTGTATTTAGGAAACAATCCGGGACTTTTTTGAAGCAATCCACTCAGTTGGACAGAACCAACTCTTGAGGGAGTCTATTCCACATTTTCACAGCTCTCACTGTGAAGAAACCTTTCCGTGTTTGGAGATTAAATGTCTTTTCCTCCAGATGTAAAGAGTGCCCCCTTGTTCTCTGTGATGACCTCAGGGTGAATAGCTCTACACCGAGTTCACTATATGAACCACTGATGTATTTATACATGGAGATCATATCCCCCCTTATGTATTATACATGTTGATCATATCCCCCCTTATGTATTAATACATGTTGATCATATCCCCCCTTATGTATTATACATGGTGATCATATCCCCCCTTATGTATTATACATGGTGATCATATCCCCCCTTATGTATTATACATGGAGATCATATCCCCCCTTATGTATTATACATGGTGATCATATCCCCCTTATGTATTATACATGGAGATCATATCCCCCTTATGTATTATACATGGAGATCATATCCCCCTTATGTATTATACATGGAGATCATATCCCCCCTTATGTATTATACATGGAGATCATATCCCCCCTTATGTATTATACATGGAGATCATATCCCCCTTATGTATTATACATGGTGATCATATCCCCCCTTATGTATTATACATGGAGATCATATCCCCTCTTATGTATTATACATGTTGATCATACCCCCCCCCTTATGTAATTATTATGCATGGAGATCATATCCCCCTTATGTATTATACATGGTGATCATACCCCCCCCCCTTATGTAATATACATGTAGATCGTATCCCCCCTTATGTATTATACATGGTGATCATATCCCCCCTTATGTATTATATACATGGAGATCATATCCCCCTTATGTATTATACATGGAGATCATATCCCCCCCTTATGTATTATACATGGAGATCATATCCCCCCTTATGTATTATACATGGAGATCATATCCCCCCTTATGTATTATACATGGAGATCATATCCCCCCTTATGTATTATACATGGAGATCATATCCCCCCTTATGTATTATACATGGAGATCATATCCCCCCTTATTTATTATACATGGAGATCATATCCCCCCTTATGTATTATACATGGAGATCATATCCCCCCTTATGTATTATACATGGTGATCATACCCCCCCCTTAATCTCCTCTTCACAAGAGAGAATACATTCAGTTCCTCTAATCTTTCCAGTAATGCACAGTCTCTCCCTGTATCCATCTTTCTTTCTGACAGGACCTTTCCGTCTCCACACACTCTTTCCCAGACTGTCTTGTGGTTTCCGTGCTTTCGAATTTACATGAACAATTAAGGCATGCTGGCTTTTGTAGTACCCCCATGGACACAGAGCCTGACAATGACCAATAACACCCATGCCCCCCATCTGGGAGTGCCTTCTACTAACCCCCCTCCGGCGATAAAGAGAAATACACCCATCTTTACAGCTCCGGATATCCCTGGGAACAAGAGTCAGGCTGTACATACACCATCAAGCAGCCCGCAGCCTCTCTCAGATCCCACCTGGTTCCCTTCTTCTGGAGGGGAGGTGCTGCCCCCCTGAAAAATGCCGCCCTAGGCAAGTGCCTTGATTGCCTTGTGGTAAATACGCCCCTGGGGGTGGGTAAAACAAGGATGCTGTGCAGGTAACAGACATCCTCCTTAACAAGGACTGGTTGCCAGGACCCTGCCGTCTAAAAGGTTGTAATGGTACACAATGAAAACCTGTGGCTTTGTGTAACTAAAAGGCAGGCGTGATCCACCTCTGGCTTGTATACAAGTTTTGACCAATTTGTAGACATTTTCCAAGACACCTCTGAAGAAACCTCAAGGCACCCCAGGGTGCCTGGGCTCCTGGTTGAAAAAGGCTGCCCTAGACTGTAAGCTCCTTGAGTGCAGGGACCGATGTACATGCACAATATATGTAAAGCGCCGCATACATTTTTGATTCTATATAAATAAAAAAAGTCATGAACAGGTAGTGGACACCACAATTTTCACTGTCTGCATTTATTTCTGTTATTATTATTTATTTAATTTCACGATTATTATTAAAAAAATGGTGTCATATACAGCGATTGGATGTTAAAATATGCTCTGGGTTCTTTAGGTACATCACCTTCTTCATTCTCTTTTTTAAAACATCCTACAAGCCACTGGACACACCAGTGTCAGCTTCAAGTATAATCATTTTTAGCATAGGTTTTTCAAGACCTCAAAATGATTTCAAGGGTTGCTCTGATCTACAAAGGTTGAGATAGTCTGACCTAGAGAATATGAAGGCTGCTATAAATAAAATCTAAATTAGCCAGTTGCCCAGGTTCAAGGCTGATACATTGGTTTGGATACATTCCGAGTCTCTGAAGTTTTGGCTTCATCCTCATGCTTGTTCCGGGTCAGAAAGGGCCGAAGACAGACATTTAGCATTTAAAGATCAGCCGTGACCATGCTCAGTATTTCCTTATGTGGAGGTTTCCTTTGAATGCATAATTTTCAAATGAAGATGTTTTACAAAGCGCAGGCACCATGCCGAGCATTGATCTGTTATTCTGCGCTCTCCGGTGTAGCAGTGATTAATCAGGGAACTGTAATTCTAATTAAAGTATTTTTTTTGTATTTGGCAGACAGTTGTAGACTAAATGATTACAAATGAAAGTGGAGCAGCTGTGCTACAATACTACAGAAGCGGCAGGGTGATTAAAGTATCATAATGGAAAATCAACCATCAGTATCTATACCTCCGATTGTTCTGAGAAGAGAATAATGGGCAATTATTCGCCATCCTAATATGTGCCATGGCAAATAGGTGTGGCTAAGAGATGCCATAGCAGAAAAATGAAAAAAAAAAAAGCTTTAAATGAAACTTATATCCACACATAAGTGTGGATACAGTGAAGGAAATAAGTATTTGATCCCCTGCTGACAGATGTTTTATACAGGTAACAAAATGAGATTAGCAGCACTCCCTTTAAGAGACTGCTTCTAATCTCAGCTTGTTACCTGTATGAAAGACACCTGGTAGCCAGAAATCCTGCTGAATGATAGGGGATCAAATACTTATTTCCCTCATGAACATGCAGATCAGTGCATCATTTGTTAGACATGCATTTCTTTTGAATTTTTTGTTGCTATTCTGTCTCTCAGTGTTACAATACACCTACCATTCGATTTTTAGATCATTTCTTTGTGAGTGGGCAAACATTCAAAATCAGCAGGGGATCAAATACTTATTTCCTTCACTGTACATACTGTCTGCTACCCGTGACACTCAATAATGCTGCATTTAGAGAACGGATCCCCTGAAGTCCCCCGCAGCTCTCGCTGGTTGCTCCCTCTGACCTCATATCATTACCGTATGACAATTATGTGAAGTCAGGGCGAAGAACCAGCAATAGACACTCATGGAAGTGTTGGTTTCCCAGGAGACTTCGGGTTACCAGATCTCTGTAATAGAACGGCACTGAGTGGCAAAAAAAAAAATATAGGTATGTACACTTAACTCTACTTTAAGACTTTTTATAATATGACACAATCTCTATAAATTAGAACTGCAGTCATTAATAAATAGAAATTAATAATAGCCCATTAAAAGATAAAATGAAAAAAAAAAAACATCCTTTCTTGCAATACATACCTTCAATCTAGAGCCTCCCCCCTGTAGCCACTAGATGTCACCAGGCAAAATGACCATCAGAGTCATTTAACCACTTGCCTACAGGGCACTTTCACCCCCTTCCTGCCCAGGCCAATTTCCAGCTTTCAGGGCTGTTGCGGATGACAATTGCGCGGTCATGCAACACTGTACCCATATGAAATTTTTATCATTTTTTTGTGACAGAGCTTTATTTTGGTGGTATTTTAATCACCTTTGGGTTTTTTATTTTTTCTTAAACCAAAAACCACTGAAAAGTTTGAAAAAAAAAAGTTTTTTCTTAGTTTTTGTTACAAAATTTTGTGAACAAGTGATTTTTCTCCTTCACTGATATGCGCTAATGAGGCTGCAGTGATGGGCACTGATAGGCTGCACTGATGGACACTGATAGGTGACACTGATGGGCAATGATGAGGAGGCACTGGTAGGTGGCACTGATGGGCATTGACAGGTATCACTGATGGGCACTGAAAGGTAGCACTCATATATGGCACTTATAGGCGGCACTGATAGGCGGGCACTGATAGGCGGCACTGATAGGCAGCACTGATGGGCACTGGCTGATAGGTGGCACTGATGCACACTGATGGGCTGCACTGACTGGCACTACTGATAGGTGGCACTGACTGGCACTACTGATAGGTGGCACTGACTGGCACTGATGGGTGACACTGAAAGGCAGCTCAGATGGGCACTGATATGTGGCATTGATGTGGCACTGGCAGGTGGCATGGATGAGCACTGAGAGCTGGCACTGATGGACACTGACAGGTGGCGCTGCTGGGGCTACACTGATCATCAGGGCACACTGATCATCAGTGCTCTGATGATCAGTGTACATGTCTCCTCCGAGGATTGCCGATTATCGGCTCTCCTCTCCTCTCCAGCTGTCAGTGTGTGACAGCTCGTGAGGAGAGAAATGCCGATAACCGGCATTTCCCTGTTTACATGTGATCAGCTGTGATTGGACACAGCTGATCACATGACTGAGCCGACATCTTCGGCTCTTTCCGTGATCGGTGATCCGCTGTGTCGAGGGACACAGCGCACCACCAATCGCCGTGTTGCACGCTCTGTGAGCCACGCATGCGCGGTTAGAATGGGAGGACGTCAAATGTAAGGTTCTGCACTTGGGGGCTAAGAATATGCATGCATCATACATACAAGGGGGGATACAACTGGGGGAATCAATGGTGCAGAAGGATCTGGGGGTTCTGGTAGATCACAAGCTTAATAATGGCATGCAATGCCAAGCTGCGGCTTCTAAAGCGAGCAAAATCCTCTCTTGTATTAAAAGAGGTATAGACTCCAGAGGGAGATATCATATTACCCCGGTACAAATCATTAGTAACACCTCATCTGGAATATGCAGTTCAGTTTTGGGCACCAATTCACAAAAAGAACATTGGGGAACTGGAGAAAGTGCAGGGAAGGGCAACCAAACTGATAAGAGGCATGGAGGAGATCAGCTATGAGGAAAGATTAGAGGAAGTGAATATTCTCTCTTGAGAAGAGGAGATTAAGGGGGGATATGATCACCATGTATAATACATAAGGGGGGGATATGATCTCCATGTAGTATACATAAGGGGGGATATGATCTCCATGTATAATACATAAGGGGGGATATGATCTCCATGTATAATACATAAGGGGGGATATGATCTCCATGTATAATACATAAGGGGGGATATGATCTCCATGTATAATACATAAGGGGGGATATGATCACCATGTATAATACATAAGGGGGGATATGATCTCCATGTATAATACATAAGGGGGGATATGATCACCATGTATAATACATAAGGGGGGATATGATCTCCATGTATAATACATAAGGGGGGATATGATCTCCATGTATATACATAAGGGGGGATATGATCTCCATGTATAATACATAAGGGGGGATATAATACATAAGGGGGGATGATCTCCATGTAGTAATACATAAGGGGGGATATGATCACCACCATGTATAATACATAAGGGGGGATATGATCTCCATGTATAATACATAAGGGGGATATGATCTCCATGTATAATACATAAGGGGGGATATGATCTCCATGTATAATACATAAGGGGGGATATGATCTCCATGTATAATACATAAGGGGGATATGATCTCCATGTATAATACATAAGGGGGATATGATCTCCATGTATAATACATAAGGGGGATATGATCTCCATGTATAATACATAAGGGGGGATATGATCTCCATGTATAATACATAAGGGGGGATATGATCTCCATGTATAATACATAAGGGGGGATATGATCTCCATGTATAATACATAAGGGGGATATGATCTCCATGTATAATACATAAGGGGGGATATGATCTCCATGTATAATACATAAGGGGGATATGATCTCCATGTATAATACATAAGGGGGATATGATCTCCATGTATAATACATAAGGGGGATATGATCTCCATGTATAATACATAAGGGGGATATGATCTCCATGTATAATACATAAGGGGGATATGATCTCCATGTAGTATACATAAGGGGGGATATGATCACCATGTATAATACATAAGGGGGGATATGATCTCTATGTATAATACATAAGGGGGATATGATCTCCATGTAGTATACATAAGGGGGGATATGATCACCATGTATAATACATAAGGGGGATATGATCTCCATGTTAATAATACATAAGGGGGATATGATCTCCATGTATAATACATAAGGGGGGATATGATCTCCATGTATAATACATAAGGGGGGATATGATCTCCATGTATAATACATAAGGGGGATATGATCTCCATGTATAATACATAAGGGGGGATATGATCTCCATGTATAATACATAAGGGGGGATATGATCTCCATGATATAATACATAAGGGGGGGGATATGATCTCCATGTATAATACATAAGGGGGATATGATCTCCATGTATAATACATAAGGGGGGATATGATCTCCATGTATAATACATAAGGGGGATATGATCTCCATGTATAATGCATAAGGGGGGATATGATCTCCATGTATAATACATAAGGGGGGATATGATCTCCATGTATTATTCATAAGGGGGGATATGATCTCCATGTATTATTCATAAGGGGGGATATGATCTCCATGTATTATTCATAAGGGGGGATATGATCTCCATGTATTATTCATAAGGGGGATATGATCTCCATGTATAATACATAAGGGGGGATATGATCTCCATGTATAATACATAAGGGGGGATATGATCGCCATGTATAATACATAAGGGGGGATATGATCGCCATGTATAATACATAAGGGGGGATATTGATCTCCATGTATAATACATAAGGGGGATATGATCTCCATGTATAATACATAAGGGGGGATATGATCACCATGTATAATACATAAGGGGGGATATGATCACCATGTATAATACATAAGGGGGATATATGATCTCCATGTATAATACATAAGGGGGGGGGTATGATCTCCATGTATAATACAGGGACATAAGGGGGGATATGATCACCATGTATAATACATAAGGGGGATATGATCACTATGTATAATACATAAGGGGGATATGATCTCCATGTATAATACATAAGGGGGGATATGATCTCCAGTATAATACATAAGGGGGGATATGATCTCCATGTATAATACATAAGGGGGGATATGATCTCCATGTATAATACATAAGGGGGGATATGATCTCCATGTATAATACATAAGGGGGGATATGATCCCCATGTATAATACATAAGGGGGGATATGATCTCCATGTAAAATACATCAGTGGTTCATATAGTGAACTCTGTGTAGAGCTATTCACCCTGAGGTCATCACAGAGGACAAGGGGCACTCTTTACGTCTGGAGGAAAAGAAATGTAATCTCCAAACACGGAAAGGTTTTCTTCACAGTGAGAGCTGTGAAAATGTGGAATAGACTCCCTCAAGAGTTGGTTCTGGCCAGCTCAGTGGATTGCTTTAAAAAAGTCCTGGATTCTTTCTTAGATACACAGAATATAACTGGATATAACATTTATAGGTAAAGTTGATCCAGGGAATATCCGATTGTCTCTCGGGGGATCAGGAAGGAATTATTTTTCCCAGCAGGAGCAAATTGATCATGCTTTTGCTGGGTTTTTGCCTTCCTCTGGATCAACTGTGGGTTTAGGATTATAACTTTTTTGTTTTTTAATGCTTGAACTGGATAGACGTTTGTCTTTTTTCAGCCAGACTATGTATCTTGATACTCACACTAAACATTTTAAAGTGGTTCTAAAGGCTTAAAGTTTTCTTTTACCTTAACACATTTTCTGCATCAAAGTGGTTCCAAACCTCAGACATGAAATATGAACAAAGCATATCCCTCTAGTATGTGCTTGTCTCGGTCCAGAGCACCATGTGTCATTTCTGTCTGCTGCTTCGTTCCTCTGCTACCAGCATGAATCACATCTGACAAGTTTTCCTGACACCAGGAGAAAAGTGGTGACAAGGTAGGGACCTCCAGCAGATTGGCAGCCTCAGCTCTGTTCCTATGAGCTGTGTGAAGGGGGGGGGTGTGTCCCTTCCCTCCAATCAGCTCTCAGAGCTCTCCTTACTCAGCTGCACAGAGTGTAACTTCATCTCTCCTCCCACTTTTTTTCTGAATTCTCTGATAAGCTGTAAAAATTCTGGACTTTGAACAGATGTAGAGAAGAGAAGACCGCAGATAAACAGGTTCAACTTATGTAGGAGGATTTGTTTCATCTCTGTGTATCACATGAGGCCAGTCACTTCACTGGGTATATGGAAGGGTTTACAACAAATTTTAGGTAAAAAAAAAAAACCTTTTACTGCATGTTCCCCCCTCCCTAAAGCTTCTATTGATCTAGTCAGATTTTGTGCAGGGTGCTCAAGTTCCTCCACATCAAACCATGGATTGGGTTTGTGCATCTGAAATAATAAGTTGGAGAGGTGTCCACCTGGGGTGGACTGACAACTCATGGGGCCCCCCAGCAATAGGGGATCATGGGGCCCCTGTGTCCTTGCCCAAACTCAAAAAAAGCCTATGAAAAAGGTACATCTCATAGGGCCCCCTACTGACCCCGGGCCCTTGGGCAGTGCCCGAGTTTCCAAATGGTCAGTCCGCCCCTGGTGTCCACATACTTTTGACCATATAATGTATACTATTTAACTGATTTTCTACCGTGGTATGTTTTTCAATGGTGAAGTGGTGAAGTAAGCAGCACTGGAGAAAACATACACATGGGTGGTTGTTGTGCCCAGGGGCGGACTGACCATTTGGAAACTCGGGCTCTGCCCGAGGGCCCGGGGTCAGTAGGGGGCCCTATGAGATGCCCCTGGTACCTTTTTGATAGGCTTTTTTGAGTTTGGGCAAGGACACAGGGGCCCCATGATCCCCTATTGCCCGGGGGCCCCATGAGTTGTCAGTTCGCCCCTGGTTGTGCCTATTAATGGCTGAGAACTGAGATGGCTTAAACCACAGATTTTGGTACAGGACCACTTCATCAGGCATGCTTGATGAAGGGATCCTGCATAGCCCTGAAATATTGAAATTTTGTTGCTATGATGTGATCACTTTAATAAATTGCTGGATACTCTTTGGAAGATCCATGGTGTACAGGCAATATATTAACTCTTCATTTCCCTTATCATGCTCATCTGCACAATAACCCTTTCACCTTCATACTGTATGTAATCCGTACATTAACCCCTTCACCTCCTCCCTCCCTGTGTATAACCTGTACAATAATATATTTAGTGCACCACTTCCAAATTCCAAATACTAACACGCACACACACACACAAAATCCTGCCATGTTTTTTCATATGCAAGAAAATAATGGCAAAAAATTAACTCACCTCGGGGTGTCCACTGTCCAAAGAGGGGTCATTTGGGGAGTTTTCATGCTATTTTTCCATTTTTATTTGCTAAATTTTATAACAAAAAGTTAGGGAAACAGTGTTTTTTTGCAAAATG